CATCTTTCTCCTGCCCTAGTGAAGAGGATTAAATTGGCACACACATTTCTGAAAAGCAATTGGGAATGATGCCAGGAGCAGGGAAGAAGATATGAGTAGTGCGCAATTTATCTGAAGAAATTCAGGCTGACAGAAAAATAGTCACATAAATAAATAAATAAATGCAAAATCCTCTTGGTTGCATTAAGAGAATGAGGTGGTTGCAATGGGGGCTCACATAAGGGAATGATCAGTGCAAAGAGAGGAAAGGATTCAGGAAAGATAATGCAGATGAGTAGAAACTCTGTCCTGAAGGACAAATTGGTATAAATCAGTCTGGAAGAAATTTTCATTTGTAATTGTGATGTTTGGAGCCTAGGACCCAAAAGGAGGTGGCATGAGAAGTTCCCAGAAGTCAGTATAGTTTAGGAGAAGCCCTCATTTGGACTAGCTCCCTGTACCCCAGAACTCACAGAGGGCCTAGTCTTTAAGATCAGTTAAGAGAAGGAACATTTTCTTTTCTTAAAATAACATAGCAGACTATGGTACAATTCTTTCTTTATTCCCATACTGTGTAAATTTTTCATATTGTTTAAATTTTTCAACAATAGAAGTAAAACAATAAAATAGCCAAAATCATTAAAGAACTCTGGAGTTCTCTCAGCAGATGAGATCTGTGTAGAAAAGATACTCTAGTAACCATGTGGAGGAGAGATAGAGATCAGGAAAAAAAGGTGGCAAAGTGGCTTAGCTATAAACCACTGTTGACATCCTGAGCTATGGCAACTGCCCCAGACATAGAGAGCAATGGAGATCAGTGATGCTGCATGGGTGGAATTCACATCAGTGATGCTGTACAGGTAGAGTCCATTGAATGTGAGTAGTGAGGATAGCAAGTGGAGGTAACATACTGCTGTCTTGAGTGACTGAGTTACTCAAGATAGGAGATCATCTAGATAGAAAGAAAGGGACAAGGAACCACTTGGATAAAAATAATGAGCTTGGTTTAAAACTTGTAAGGATCTAGTAACTCTGAGAACTCAATGGAAAGTTATATGTAGATAGCTCACTACAAAAAAGTACTTTTGTTGATAAGAAATGTATTCATTATCTTGCCCATGTAATTGTAACCCCTCTGTACAGTATTTTCACAATAAAAAATAAAAAAGAAGAAAAAAAAGTACATTTGTAAGTTTCTGCATATAATGGGAGGTAGTGTGTCTTTGTAGACTGCCAATGTCCAGATCTTTTGGGTTCTTTGCTTAGGTCAGAATAGGAAGAATCCTAGTAAATGTTGGCCTGGACCTTCTTCCCAACCTAGACTATTTTCCTCCTGCTGGGGCTCTGCCTGAATGCATTCCAGAAGACGGAACTGAAAGGGATGTCTTTTTTAGCCAAGAAGCCCTAAAGACCCACAACTAATTGGAACCAAGTTTTAAGATATATCCCTGTGTTTAAAACTAATAACCATGATGGTCACATATAGCTAAGAAAACAACAAAAAAATCAAGTTCTATACTCAAGTAGCAAACCATACATGAAATACTCCTAGACCTGAATATAATTTAAATGCTGGGGTGCCATCTCACCCCACCAAAACCAAACTGGGGTTTTAATAATCTATTATCTTATTATTGTTGTTATTATTAATAGTCCTATTGCCATGGTGTGTGTAGAATGATAGCTTAAATCTGTTGGCAATATGCTAGAATTGTATCCACAGACTATAGGCAAAACTTTAAATCAAGTTTCCTGGGCCAAGTCAAAGCTTCAGTGTGAAGAATGCTAGTTCCAGTAAGAATCTTTTTTTTCTGGACCACATCTAAAGAAGGAAATGTGCAACAGACACCCCAGAAAAGTATCCAAAAGATTTTATGAAAACAAACTATGCCAACAAGACTCTGCTCTGGTGCAAAAGCCAGTACCGCAGTGTGAATTTCAGTGTGACAGTGTGATTTTTCATGGAGCGTATGTAGGCTGGTGTGGAAGAGCCATTTCAGAAGGAAAAGAGAAGAGATCCAGAGAGGAAGTTCCAAGAAGCTGCTAATTCTGTGTAGTACCTGCAGGAAGATTTGTAGCTCAGAGAAAAACCATTTCATGTTAGTTATCAAGAGGACAGACATTTGTAAAAAGAGATCAGTATATCCATAACTGTTGAATACTTAAAATTTTTCTATTTAAAAATCTGCAAATTAGCCATTGCCAGTGGTTCACACCTGTTATCCTAACTACTCAGGGGGCTGAGATCTGAGAATCACCAACCAGGGAAGGAAAGTCTGTGAGATTCTTATCTTCAATTAATCAACACAAAAACTAAAAGTGGAGCTGTGGCTCAGGTGGTAGAGTGCTAGTCTTGAGCACAAAAGCTCAGGGACAGCACTCAGGCTCTGAGTTCAAGCTGTCCTCTGAGGGTGAAATGTTTAGGCAAACTAATCTAGTTAATGAATTGGGTTATAGTGACATAATGTCAAGCAAAAATGGCTGCTGAGACTTTCTCTGAATCAGATTCATTAACTTCTTGATTTTGTTGACACATGAACAAAATGAGCATGTATTTCAGAGATCCATTATTGTCCTTCCTGATTTAGGAAACAAAGATTTCAGAAGCATCTCAATGCAAAAGAAATCAACTATAAGAATTGTAAGTATAAAGCAAGCAGATTAAAAGGAGTTATCAAAGAGCCCAGTTGTAAGCCTCAAGTCAAACTAAAAACAAGCCTAACAAACCAAAATTCCAAGGCATCAAGAAAAAGGATCAATTCCTAACCAAATCTTCTAGTTCAAAAGAGAAAAAAAGAGTTTTCATAGTTCTGAACGAATTCACTGGTTTCTAAAGTCACTCTTCTGACATAATTATGTGTGTCCTGGTTTTCATCACTTGCCAAATAAAATCAGTAGATGACGATGTCCATGTGTATGACATGATGTTTGCATGATATTAAAAAAAAGACCTGTAACTTGCCATCCGTCTTTAAAGAAATACAGTGTTTGGTTCACCAAGATATTTGCTTTATAAAAGCTATTTATGTTGCTGGTATTATCTGCTCTTCTAGAATGAAAAAAACAGGCAGATATACATGATTTAATAATGGACTTCATTTTAGGCAAAAACACATGCTTAGAATTATGGGCTTCTTCAATTAGAAAGGAATGCAAATAGCCACGAAGACTGGGACTACAAATGACCCCCAGGGCTCTACCTTGCCAGCTTGATGCATTGCTCACCTTTGAAGACTTGACCTTCTTTCTCTAGCAAGTCATTCCATATTAGGCTTACCTCTGGAGCAAAACTCTCAGATAGAGAGCACCCACAGCAAAGGCACTGGGCAGGGTGCTTTGGTACATTATGCCAGTGAGCTGAGGACCTGTGCGGAAAGCAGCATTTGAGTGCATCTCAGAGCAATCCTTTGTAGGAAAGCAAGAAAAGAAACTGAAATGTTTTATAAGCCGTATGTTTTACTCTCAACCCTGACCTCACATTAGTCCACTTTCATCTTTGAACAGAATAAGAAAAAAAATGTAGCAGACTAAAGAGAAAAAGAGAGACAAGTACAACAGTTTGGAGCATTGGCAAAAGGGTCTGACATCTGACAGTCCTGCACTGGAATTCCAGCTCTTCAGCTTAACAATTTCATGTCTGAAGTGAGAGGAAAGAAAGGAGGAGATGAAAGATCTTCAGGTAAAAAAAAGTCTCAGCTGGGTGCCGGTGGCTCACGTCTGTAATCCTAGCTACTCTGGAGGCTGAGCTCTGAGGATCACAGTTCAAAGCCAGCCCAGGCAGAAAAGGCTCTGAGACTCTTCTCTCCAATAAACCACTCAGAAAACCAGAAGTGGCGTTGTGGCTCAAGTGGTAGAGTGCTAGCCTTGAACTTAAGAGCTGAGGGATGGCGCCCAGGCCCAGAGTTCAAGCCCCGTGACTGACCCAAAAAAAAAAAAAATCTCAAGGATTCAAATAGTCTACACTCACTAAGAGCAAATTTTTCTATTCTTTCTATAATCAATCTGGAAACATTTCCTGATTACTTAGTATATCCTTAGCGATGCACTTCGCTCAGAAAGAAAATTGTCCAATCTTCCTCTTCATCCTCAAGGAGCATAGAATCTCCCTCTGGAAACAGCAATCACACATGAACTATACAAAAATAACCTGAATTGCTAAGCATCCATATACAGTTCAAGACATATGTGTAGTATTTAGAGAGGGAGCTGAGGAGAGCTGACCTGTCCCAGGGATCCCAGGGGTACATGGTAAAGAGGTGAGTGGGTATATAGAAAAGGAGAGCTGGCCTCTGCCCAGAAAGGAAACATGCCATGGCCAAGTTTTTCCCTGAAATACATGGGAAACAGGCAAGACAAGAGAGCAAGAATTTGTGAACTAACAACAGCCTGTACTGAGGGAAGGATGGGCAAAGGCAGAGAGCACAAGAACCATTGGGAAGGAGGATGCACTGAATTCAGGAACTGAACAGAGGAAAGAGAAGGGTTAGGTTTCTAACCCCACTGAAGACCTATGAGTCCCTTTTCATCTCCATGTTATTCCACGGCAAGAAGTAAAATCACGCTCTTCTATTTCCTTAGGGATGCTATTGCCTTTTTCTATAACTGGACTACATGATGCACAGTTTAGAAAAAGTAGGCTCATCTGAGTTCATAGCTCACCTCAAGCAAGCCAACTAACCTTCCAGGCCTCAGTTTCCTTATCTGGTAGATTGGAGTGAGTCATATATTCAATAAATTTCTTAGTCAGGAAGCGCTTAAAATAGTGTATGTCATTTAGGAAGAATCCCTAAGTGTCTACTACTAGTAGTAGTTATTAATATTATTATTATCACTGCTATATCTATTACTTTTCATCTTTAGCTAGAATATGTCAACAGAAATAATTACCTTACAGATGACTATAATGGAGATACTAAGAATAAGGCCATCTTAGCAGTTCTTCCCAAACTACTGCCAATAGTGATAACCCCAAAGCAAGACCCAGGCAATCAAGTGTCACATGGGAAGATTTGTGCCCACACCTAGCTTGGTGAATGGCCTCCATCCACTCTTTGCCGTCCTGCTCCTCCTCACAGCGCAGTTCCAGTGGTTTCTGACCTTCGTGTCCAAAAAGGACAGTAAAATAATACTGGAAAGAAAAACAAACATTAAAAAGTTTAGTTTTATTTTCCTGTGCAAAAGCATAGTAACACAGTAGTTACCACCAACAAGTATATGTGACAAAATCCAACAACATTATATATGGTGTATTTCCAAATGTGATGTCACTCCTCTCCAGTTAGCATAGAAATGGCATGTGGAAGATAGCATAGACTGCATCGTAACATCCCTCAGTAACACTCAACCCACAATGCTACTGTACTGCATATTTTTATACAAGTACAAAAAGAACACTGTACAAATCTATCTCTGAAGATATATTAAAGTTAACATGAAAAAATAACTGCAGACATTTTCTGAGGAGGAAGAGTATGTTAAGATTACAGGGATCAGGGCTGGGAAGGTGGCTCAGTGGTAGAGCGCTTGCCTTGCATGCATGAGGCCCTGGGTTCGATTCCTCAGCACCACATAAGCAAAAAGCAAAAAAAAAAAAAGATCCAAGTATGCACATTTGCATCAGCCAATTATCCTTTCTGTTCTCCTCTATATCTATTCCCCATTCAGACAAGCAATATGCCTAGTGTTACATCCAATTGTTACCATTGCTTTTTCTTCCATCTTAGCACCAATTGCCTCTATCCTTGTTTTCCTAGACAGATTATCCTTGACATAGGAAGGAAACCTAATCCCTATCCTGGGGGCTAAGAGATTGGCACAATTTCTTTTTGATAGAGTTGTGATCTAAGTTGTTGAACAAAAGGAATTGGGTTAAACTAAAAAAAAAGCATACCATCATTTATCAGAAATAAAATAAATTATCAAGGATATAATGACTTTTCTTTTTTCCCCCAAACATTGGTATCTTTATTACTGAGGTATATGATTCACATGTATTTTTTAGAATGATTTGAAAATAGCAGATAAAACTTCTGTCATAGGTATTTCACAGGAACATTATGATAGGTTAAACAAATCTCCAAAGATTATTGGAAATAATGTGTATGCATAGAAGATGTTAGTAATCCTGAAATGCTTGTGGGATTAAGTACTAACCTATCAAGAAATATTTAATTCTTTCTCTTATGTTAGTGAATTATATGTGCTTCAGCCTTAATTCTTTTTTTTATTGTGAACATACTGTACAGAGGGGTTACAATTACATGGTCAAGATAATGAATACATTTCTTATCAAGCATTGCAGCCTCCTCCTTTGTTTACCCTTCACATCCCTTCCCAGCCTCCCCCCCCCCAACAAAGTTGTAAAGTTCGTTTTTGACATGACAACTTGTACTTCTCATTATTGCAACAGGTCCACCTGTATCCTTAAACAACTTGTTTTTCCCCTTCTCCTCCACAAATTATACTGACATCAAATATAGTGAAAGCAGGGGTTATACCGTGGGGGAGGGACATACACAGCAACAAAGAGATAATCTTATAAATGCATTAGAAACAAATGAATGAAAGAAAAAAAGCATTTAAATACATATCTAAGGGTTCATTTTCCTAACATCACATTATCTGACCTTTTCTGCTTGACTCATACATATACTAGATATTGCAAATAAGGGAAACTATGGGACCTATGTTTCTCTGGGCCTGGCTTACTTCACTTAATATAATTTTTTCCAAGTCTTTCCATTTCCTAACCAATGGGGCAATGTCATTCTTTCTGATGGAGGCATAGAATTCCATTGTGTATATATACCACATTTTCTTGATCCATTCATCTACTGAGGGGCATCTGGGTTCCAGATCTTAGCTATGGTAAATAATGCTGCAATAAACATAGTTGTGCTGGTAGCTTTAGTGTGGTCTTGTTTGTGAACATTTGGGTAAATGCCCAAAAGTGGGATTGCTGGGTCATAGGGGAGTTCTATGTGAAGTCTTTTGAGGAACCTCCATACTGCTTTCCAAAGTGATTGAACAAGTTTACACTCCCACCATAATGACTTTTCTTATATGAAGGGTACTCATAAGTACCCTAGAGTCAACCCAAATATCCATTAGTAGGTGAGTAGATTTGTTTTAAATTCTGGTATATTCTTACAAAGGAACACTATTCAAAAGTAAAAAAGGAACAAACTTGATAAACCTAGAATCTTGGATCTCTCAAAAGGATCTGGTTGAGTAGAGAAGCCAGCTGAAAGGCTTACATCCTCTCTAATTCCTTGTGAGTGATCTTGAACTAGTGTCGTCAAATAGATCCATTGTTTTCAGAGAGCATGACTGTCAGAAGAGACTGGACAGTTCCGCATGATCACTGCAGGGCCTGTACAAATCTAAATAGAGATTTAAGCACATACCGTCATGCCAAAAAGTTAATTTTTTATATTTTATATAAATATTTTTTAAATTAAACATAGTTGTCATCAGGATTCCAGAACACGAAATAAAATCATATAACCAGAGCTCACAGACCCTCAAACTTTGTGATCCACAAAGTCACCCTGTGCTCTAAAAGGATTGGCATGAAATAGAGAACTTTACAACAATAAGCAGATTCCATGGATCATAGTTGCAAAACAGAATCTGCTTTAAAAAAATCATCTTGCAAAAAGCTACGTGAAGATGTGGAGAATTCTCGTGTATAATACATAGAAGTGCATGTGTCTGGTTTTGAGTCTGCTTTGGATTAGACAAAGTGATAAGTGTCTGAGTCAAAGACGCATCACCCTGACAACCTTTGTGAGCCACAATATACCCAGTAAATCATGATGATTCAGTACAATCTCAGAGGGCTTTGTGGTACAATTGAACAGATGGAACATCTAGAGATTTACTCTAGCCTACACAGCTTTAAAATGCTTTAGAAACAAGCCGATATATCCAGACAAAGTAACAGTACTTCCAGATAAGCAATCCCCATGCTAGAAACATAGGTAAGAAGCAGAACCATAGCAGAAAGAGTAACACAGTAGGACCCAAGTAGCTGAGGATATGCTGTTGTAATACAATATAGGGATTTTGGAAGCTAACCTAAAGCCCAGGCCTAAAATAAGGTCACATGAAAGGTTACCAACTTGGTATAATAGAGACTATAAAAACTCTGCTCCCAGTTTATAATATGCTGGGATAATTTCCTAAGTCAGAAGTATAATTTGAAAAAAACAAACATTTTTATATAGTGGAATGGTCACTGTACCTCTGATTAAGAAAAGTTGTCCTAACTGCAATTTGAAATCCAAAACATGCAGATAAAAAATATAAAATTTAATTACAGGAAAGCAGACTGAATAAGAAAAACGCCTCAAGCAATGCATTAAGACATGCAACAAAGTACAAATACATGTATAGTTTACATCATGGGATCATACCACTCACATGTTATTATGTGGTTTTCCTCTTTACACTATTCATATTGTAAGTTATATGAATATATTTCTCAACATTTATAACTTTCAAAATTGTGTTACTTTTTGTAGTGCATATTTGAAATAACATTAAGCTCATAGAAAAGCTATATGAACCACAATATAGTTAAAAATTGAGTTACTACTGGGCACTTGATAGTTCATGCCTCTAATCCTAGCTCCTCTGGAAGCTAGGATTAGCTTCCAGAGATCTGAGAATCATTGTTTGAAGCCAGTCCAGGAAGGAAACTCTGTGAGACTATTATCTCCAAATAACCAGCAAAAAAAATCCAGAGGTGGAGCTGTGGTTCAAATGGAAGAATACTAGCCTTTAGCAAAAAAGCTAAGGGATAATTAATAATCAGGCCCTGAGTTCAAGCCCCAGCATCGGCACATGCGCACACACACACACACACACACACACACACACACACACACAAACATACACACACACATATTACCTTAAAAATAGCTTAAAAGACATATTCTTTTTTTTGGGGGGGGGTCCGGTCGTGGGGCCAGAACTCTGGCCCTGGGCGCTGTCCCTCAGCTCTTCAGCTCAAGGCTAGTGCTCTACCACTTGAGCCACACTTCCGGCTTTTTTCTTCTTTTTGCTTATGTGGTGCTGGGGAATCGAATCCAGGGCCTCATGCATGCAAGGCAAGCGCTCTACCACTGAGCCACCTTCCCAGCCCAAAAGAAATATTCTTAAAATATAAAAAGAGAATATTATATGCCTAATGATAAAAAGATACAAGCAGACACTAACCAAAAGACAAAAAGTAAGACTATATCAAATATACAATTTATAATGAAGAAAGTCATCTAAGTAGAAGACTCAATTCACCAGAAAGTAAAGCAATCCTAAATAATTTATATACCTAATAAGACATATCAAATACACTGGGCAAAAAACAAAAAGTGCATCATTATATTGGATTGTCACAAGTCCAATTGCTTATGCCTTGTCCCTCAAGACTTCCAGACCAGAACCAGTGCTTTGATTAGTGTAGAATGTCAAAGCCTGGGAAAGGCTAGGTGCACAGTGCTGCCTTTACAAAGTGGCACTCCCTTCAAGGCCAAAGAAAGGAGAGCATCTGCGTTCAGAAACTGGCCCTACCTAGGTAAGCCATCTTGTGCTGATCTTAGAGCTTGTTGAAAAGACAGCTTCAAAGGCAGCCTGGGAGGGTCAGGAGCCACACAGAAGGAGGTTAAAGGAGTCCTTTTCAAGGCTAAGGGCAAGGAAGAAGGATCATAGGAGATGGAGCAATAGATGTTATTCCTGCCAACTGAGAAGCTCCTGAAAGCCCAAAAGAGAATCCCTGAAGATTAGGCTTTAACTCCAGCCACACACCGTGGAAACTCATGTTGTTGGGTCCAACTTGGAAAAGTAAGAGCAGCCCAGGAAGTTGGGACAGGAGCCAGGGACAAAGCAGTTGCCAAAGCCTGTCTTTCCCTGTAGCCCCAGCCAGGCACAGAGGAGAATTCACTGTAAACTAGTTTATCTGAGGCTGCAATGTTAATTACCAACTGAGACTGTCTGGGAGGGAAAATGACTGCAGAATTTGTGATATCAGAGCTATCTGAAAATACTGGGCCTGCAGATGGATGGGGCTGATAAGGAGGGAGAAGTTGAGGTCTCTGCTTAGTTAACTGGGCAATACAGATGCATTTG